ACGACTATATTTTTGTTTTCGAGCTGCACACACACACACATACACATGTGTGATTATGGTATAGGCAATAAGCAGACACGCACTTATTTATCTGCTCTCCTCCTTCATCGGAGCATTTTTAACTTGGTACGATGAACTTGATCCATAAGCGGTTTTTATCGGATATTATGCAAGACATTTCTTATGTGGCTTTGTAGCTCGTATACGTCTCTCGCGCGAAACATAAATAATGAGCCCAACGTGCCGATCAATTTATTATTATTGCCTCCGTGTCGTCGTATTTTCGCAGCGGGTGATATTCCACTCGGCGGCGGCCACTCGGGCAGAATCGACGATTTCATTAGGCCTGAGAGGTGCGCGTCGCGTCGCGCCGAATGATAAGCGGGCATCGATCGCTAAACAGAGAGAGAGAGAGACATTTAATGCAGTGCGCACTTGCGGATCGTTTCGGAATTGTCCGTTGTGCGCGACTAAATATAGCCTCCCGATGTGTACGTACGATTTACGATAGAAAATCGAGGAGGCAGCCGTTTACGTTTCGAGCTTGTATCAAGCTCCGCGCGCTCGAATTCGCGTATCGTGGTATATGTATTATTATATAGGCGCTCGGTGGAGACCGGAAAGCCGACGAGATCATGGAAAATCCCCACAAACATACGTACGGGGGCATAAGTATAATATAAGCCGACGACGAGCGAATCGATATTAAACCAGACGCCGTATACACATACATTTCGATGAAATATCATGCACACATAATCCGGATTTGGATTGAATTTATTACGATGTAAACTCGCGTGTGTGTGTGCATAATAGACATTTAGGTGGCGCATGCGCCAGCCCTTTAAAATATACTATACATAGATCGATTTTCATAATGTTATACACGTGTCGCGTGGCTCTTTTCCTCTTTTCGTCAAAACGAGCCAGAAAAAGGGGGGCCGTTTATCCACGCGAATTATCAATGTTGCATGACATTCCGCGTCGCGCACGTATATAACGTAAAAGAGAGTGGCTATATATGAGTGTAACAAAGAAGAGGCTCGTTTATCCTTACCCCCGCGCGGATCTGTGTGTGCCAGTAGAGTCTGAATTTAATGTGCCCCCGAGAGAGAGAAACACGCTCCGGATATCGATTGACCTCTGCAGCTAGGAGCTTCGCGGGCAAAAAAGTCGTCCTCTCGCGCGAGCCGCGCGCAACGTGTCTCGACAACAACGGTCGACGAAATTTAAATCAAAAAACGTTGGAGAAAGTTGAAGGGAAGGACAAAGACTTTTTTGAGGCAGGGAGACTAATACAGTCGTGCGCGGCAGCCGAGGCGAAAGCGGAGACGTTTATATAGCTTTTCGGATAACTTTCGTGAGTATACGAAGAATTGTTGTTGCGGCGCACGTAGCACGGCGTCGACTCAATTATTCACGTTTTTCAATTAAAACACGCACGCGAATGAAAAGCGAGCGGGTGCAATTAATAATTTCGCACTTTTACACAATGGCTCGTTTTCGCCGTTTCCGATGTGTACGTGCACACAAAGCGAGTCTGTATCTTTTAATTGTGCCTTTGTGGGCAGAGGGCCAGGACATAATGTTGTACTATCTCATGTACACACACACACGAGTACGCAGCAGCGTAGATGCGTCATTTCGAATGCGAATAGATGTATAAATTGCAAGGTATCGATTGCGTTTGAAAAAATTTTAAAATAGATCAGGGGGAATGACGCGCGCGCGCGAACGACCGATCGCGAGCCAAGTGATAAGGCTGACAAGCTGATCTTGTAACTCGACGATCGAAGCTCATCAATAAAGTTTCAATGTGGCATTAAACGATCGCGAGGCAGATATCGCTTTTCTTTTTATAAGCGCTCTCGAGTGCGTAAGGAAACAGATGACCAGACGACTCGGAGAAGCCTTTGGAAGATTCGAGATTAGAACGGCAAGGAGAGACTCGTATCGAGAGCTTTATACAAATTCGGCATAGAATGAATTGTGTATGCGCGAATAAAAGCTCTCCGCCGGCCGCTCGAGATTTTCTTATTTTCCTCTCTCTGTCTGTCTTTTCTCGTATAATGGTCTCTCGACAATCGTGTTCGATGACTCTTGGGCTTTTGTCGAGCGAGTTGGTTTTTTATTCGACTACGTCGAAAGCCAATTCGAGTGTCGCGTTGCTTCTGTTTCCGTTTATATACACTAGCACCGCGCTATATAGCGCTTGCCTCTTTTCACGACGAGATAAAGCCTTTTAAAATTTTTCAGTCGACGCGCGGATGCCGATGAAAAAGCAAAAAGAAGATGAAGATGAGGAAGAAAAAGAGGAGAAAAATTGCGATCGCTAGCAAATTCCGAAGGCGAGAATCGCATAAAATGCTTTCAGCGAGCATACGTGACGATTAACGCATAGGCATGATGTGTGTAGAGCGAGGAATAGCCGTCGGCGGGGCGACGACAGCGGCAGGGAAAACAGAGCGAGAAAAGCCGTAAACCGCCGCCGGTTAATAAGCCCCCGAATAATTTGTCTTTGATTTTTTGTCGCAATCGTCGCGATATCGATCGCGACTCGCGAACAACTCGTCGCCGGCCTAATGTGCGATAATCGGCCCGATAACAATGACCGATTGTCCACGGCGAGACGGCATGAATTATTGACAATGTGCGGCGCACGTATACCGAGAAGTGCACATGTGTGTGCGTGCTGTGTCTGCGACGACGAGACTCGAGATCGTGTCATTGTTTAACGAGCTGTTTTATAATACAACAAATACAAACAAACACACGCACGAAGCGGCTGCGGGGGGAACCGATAAGGTGATTACAATATCGTGTATATTGGCCGTCTGCGCCGGCACACGATATAATTACTTGGCTTATTATTCGGTTATATATTCCTCCCTGCAAGTACATATATACATAATAATGTTCTCGCGCAGCAGCTACACACGAGCTACATCGGCGGCCCCCGTTGTCCCGCTCGTGGAAAAGTACGAGTTACAGAGACCCACCGATGCCTACATGCTAGATGTCACATACGCCGAAGAAGAAGCATCCGAATATGTCAAACAAAATGAGTTCGGAGAAGAGCAAGACTCTAACTAGGCTCAACGCACTCGCGACGTCGACTTTTTAAAATACAGAGTGCGAGCGAGCGAGAAGAGAGAGAGAGAGAGAGAGAGACACGGAGAGGATGGAAACCTGTTTTCGGCCCGCGAGCACGCGTTCGATGCGTGACTTTTAAAACGCGATACACACGCTACTTCGTGTATGTATACACAGCAGCGAGCTATCCTTCGTTTACGAATAAAAGGCAAAAAATAAAAAAGAACGCGCGCGATATCGCACGCGTAACTCCGAATGTATATACACAGCGAAAAAGATACGCGTTTTACAGCCTCCTTTTTTTGCTCGCTTGCATCGCTGCTGCAACTACACCTATAGTCTCCCTGCTTTTCGAAATTTACGATCTCTCGGCGCGTACGCACTGCGGGCGAATAATGCATCGTAACAACAGTGATGTAGGTAACATGGAAAACTCGGCTACTCGGCTGTTTGTCGTTAAACACAACGTGTGCACACGAGGCGCGAGTGCAAACTATACGTGTCGCATCATCGCAAATGCCTTGCACGTGGCAGCGAGCGAATTTAGGTCGCGGTGCTTTATTTTTTTATTTTGTTGTTTCGTTCCCTCCCCCTACTTCTTACCTACACCGAGTCGTGGTTGACTCATATATATATAATAATTCCTCGTTCCTTTAATAATGCATGCACGTAATGTAGAGCCTATATGATAATATACAAAGAGAGCTAAAAAAGCTCCGTGTCGACGATACACCACCGCATTTCAGCGATGTCGGGTGCGCGAGTGCGTCGTCGTGTCTGCGTTGAAGAATGTTCTAGATTCTTTGGGCCGAGTGTGTGTATACGGCACGCGCACACGTATACGCATTACGCACCGTATACTACCTTGCCGGAGCGCGCAAAAATGTTTGTATGCAAACACCGGCGGTCCGTTTCTCGATATCAAGATCGACTTTGCCTCGCGAGCGGGGGTGTCTATACATACGATCGGAGAATTCGTCGATGCAATGGACTACTGCATCACGTGATCGAGCGCCTATCTATATACGTATTGAAATGCAAATGCCCGTAATCTATCGTACGCACGCCGGTGTGCGCTCCACTGCAGCGCAAGAGAGATTATACCTTTCAAGAGGCCTACCGGTTCCATCCAAACTCGACTCGTATACACGTGCGAATGTGTGTGTGTGTGTGTGTGTGAGTGTGCATAATAATGTACTAAACGAGAAGGAGAGAGAGAAAGAGATAAGACTCAGCGAATTCGCACAGGCGAGTTTATTTTAAGATCGGTCGCACGCGTCGCCGGCGTTTTGCTGCTGCTGCGTGTGCAAATACCGGTGTACAAAAATCATATCTTGCCGTACGCTTATATATATGGGCAAACTTTAGCGCACTGACACGACTTTAAGTTTGGTCGCTTACGAATGCTGCAACACGTCGACGACTGCGCTAAAAGTTTAACGCACATACACTTCGCACACACTCGCGAAATTCTCGCCGTACTCCGTGTACACGGTACACCGTCGTCCGCCATTATAAATTTACGTCCCTTGCGCACAATGCGCATGCACATGATGATCGTGTACCTATACCTGTGTGCAAGTCAAAGCGTGTGAATGTGTCCATGTGTGTGTGTGTGTGGGTTTTATCGTATAGCTGCTGCTGATTACACTTGGTTTTAGAAAATTTCGTATCGAACGTTACAAAATAAGAGTTGTCAATGAACGGGGTTGAACTGATTTACCTCGCTGAACGGATGAACTTGAGCTCGTGAGATGTGTGTATGCGTGTGCGTGTGTCTGTGGACGAGATGCTGCGGATAATTTCGTCTTCTGCCGAGCTTATAAAACACACACTTTATGGGAGAGCGAACCTTTATGTTGCGAGGAAAAACTTGTCCAAAAGGTTAACGCGGGGATGCACCTTACTCCTTGTTTATTCTCGATGACAATGGATGAGTCGTGTGGCGTCTGCGAGAGAAAAAAAAACCCACAGGGTCGGCCTCGTTGCGGCACTATTTTTTTGTATCTTCTTTTCTTTTTTGCAACTCACTCTGCAGTCCGTCTTATCGATCCACACACTTACTCGACGCAGAAAGAGTACAGAGGCAATCCGCGTTGCGGACGCAACTCGCACCTCGATGCAACAATTTTTCCTATCTATTCGCCGTTCGAGATTCCTTCGAGCTGTTTTACGAGGACACACTGTCACGGAATTTCATTCGATTTAACAGATGCCTATCGCGATTATTACGTTACTCGACGACGCAGAAACCGACGGATAAGTCAGCTTAGCGCGAGGGTTCGATTTTTTTCACCAACAACAAAGAGAGAGAGAGAAATGTTCGTTTCAAACGCACGTTACAAAACACGAGCTCGAACGACAACTTTGCCGAGGCAATTTTTGTTTAAACAGTCCGTTGCAGTTTCGAACGATGCGCTTGGTGTATTAGAACAATATATTATAATCGATGTGTCCGTCCGTTGACTCAGCCGGTTCGCGCACCAATGGATGGATCGCAGCTCTATATGTGTGCGTTCGAGTGCCGCCGACGACCAGACCAGCACATGATTCTATATATACCTATATATCTTTTGTATATATAGGACACGCGATCATTTTTACACTCTTTATTCTGCTCTTGTTGTGTTTTCGCTCTTGCTCTTTCTCGCTTATTGACGAGTGCATATGACCACGGATTCGATAGTATCGTATATAGGTAAGTCGACGCGTCTCGAGATACTTCTTCGATATCGATCAGAGAAATTCGCGTTGTCTATCCAAGTAATCTTCGGACGGTTGTTTTCTAACAGAATTAATGATTATTGAAAATAAATTCATAATTCCTTTTCTTGGAAAATAAAAAAAAACGTGTACTTTTTATTCTTCGTATGCACTTTCAAGCGCATCAATCTTTCGATTTCCAATGATTTCGATACATCTCGATATATCGCATATAGAAATATAGAAAAAATTGAAACTTCAGGCTTTGAAGATAAGTTATAATTAATTCCCAATTTTAATCATTTTATGCATGCATTTTTACAAACTTTAAATAAAATTCTGCCAAATGAAGTAATGAATAAAAAAATTAACTACTACGGTTTAAATGTTATTTCATTATTTATAGTTTATTTAAATTTTTTCATCATTATCAAACCTAAATAATGTGTAATGACACGATGAACAATTAATAAAAAATATAGTGTGTTTCTACAATTATAGTTATAATTGATATACATAGAGCTTATTTGTTAAAACTTTAAGAATTAAATACACTACTCATGAGAAATAACAATGCAATCATTCTAATTAATATTCCTCATTGTTATTCTTCCGTTTCTTTTTTAAACCTCTCTTAATTAAAAATTGCCTCTCCTAAAAACGACAATTAAAAATCCTTACAAAATATAGTGCAAATGTACGGGTTTTTTTCTTGTTTCATTTGCTGTACACAACAAGGAGGGGCATATGACTCAATATCACACCCTCATTAATTTTTTTCAAACTCATCAATAAATTTGCTGCATCTAGCTGCAACTATAATTTATATTTTAAATTCATCCACTTTGTTATAATTCGTAATTTTTCAAACCCAATATATTTCATCTTTTTTTTTTAGAGATACACACAATCAACATAGAATAAAATAATCCCCTGTGTACATGTAATAAGTTGCAGAGCTTTAGCTGATTTATAAGTTTAAAGAAACTTTCACTCTTGCTGGAACTCAAGTTCTTGTAACGATAAATCTTTTTTCCTACACGATTCACATTTTTCATTTAATTTATATCTGGTGTGTAACCTTTTCTTTAATATACATATATATATATATAATGTTTACTTATATTTAATAAACTTAACAACAGCTTTATCTCTTTTCCATTTACAAGTAATCATTAAAATATAAAAGACTATTATGCTAATTACGAAATCAAATAAAACAAGCGATAAGAATTAATGAAGGACGAATCGGGTGTTCCATTATGTAGTTCACTTTTCTCGCGTGATGGAGCGCACTATTTGTTCATTCTAATTAAAATTTTCGTCTCTGATAATTTTTTTCCAAAAAACCTTACATTATATCACATTCTACATTATTTAACATGCTTGTACTCATTTGAATTCTCTTAAAATTGCTTTGATCTCGAAATATTCGTAGTTTTAGCAGTATTAATAGAGTTGCCTATCTTGCAAACACGTTTCAATAGTTTTTAAAATAAGTTAATCTAAATTCAACAGGGAATTAGTTGAGTTCAAAATAAAACGATAAACTTTATCTCTTTAAATATTTGATGACTTATACTGATTTTGTTCTTTCGTTGAATCGCGAGAAATATTTATCAACTATATTTTAATGGCTAGAAATGCGCTCTCTTTGCAAAGTACACAAAATGGACCTACAGTATGATATTATATTTATTGCCACTGCAGACTACATTTATACATTACTTTTTTTCAATAGTTGATAAAAAAATTTAACTGCTCATAATTCATTTCATTCGTGATTTCTTCTTTTTCTATATTTTCGGTCTGGTTATCAACATTCATATATTGTATACGCTAATATTGCTATACTTCGTCGAATACGTGGATTCCAGAGCTCTTTGAAATGCTAAGTTTATGTCATGTTGCTTTAAATATTAATCAAACATTCAAATTTCATTTTTTATTTCACTTTTTTACATTAAAATTATTATTTTTATAATGCGACCTCCCGCATACACCTGTTTGTAGAATGTTTGATTTTAAATTCTGGACAATAAAACTTTCAGATGATTTTCACCTGTACCTATTGTGTATTGCTATTTATTTTTTTGAATTTCTCGTTTTGTATTTAACATTTTTTAGCGTAATGTAGAATCAAGTAATTTTGTTCAGTGCAGATGTAAATTCGTTCTTTTAATTAGGTTTAGTTTATACAAGTTTGCCACATTCTTTGAAAATGTCACTTTTTCGTACTAGTATACTGTCACGCGCTCAACACAAATTAATCTTGTAAAGTATCAAAACAGTTACATCTCCAGAATTAGAAGTTGGTATTTGCAACTAACGATAACATACGAGATCTATTTAATTTATTTTTTATTTTTCAAAAAACCATGTACAAATATGACAGTAGTTTATAATTATAAAATATATGTATAAGTATATAGTGGTCTATTTGATTACATAAGAAAAAACAAGTTTATCATAAAAACGCGCATTAAACGCGTTGTTTTGGAGTGATCAATTGAATACAGGTCCCATATTTAAGCGGTCTGTATAATATACCCATCACTGATCAATGAAGAACATTGATTCAAATTACGCACAGATCCTATTCTGTGTAAATGTAAGTATCAAATGACTCATTTTGTTTCTGTGGTATTAAGCAAACGCCTTTTGCACTCTTCAACTTAATTATGTACATAGAGTGAGATAACATTTACATACATTTATTGTACTTAAATAAATATTTAATACAAATTTATGATTTGAATTATTCACTTCTTAATCTTTACTTTAGTCTTACATTTAATTGCCTAAGCAGTAAGTAATAATTAGCAATCATAAATTATTCGTAAAATAATGTATAAAATGTAACTCTGTATAGATATATTCTTCAATCAAAGATTATTAAAAAAAGAAAAACAAAATGTTACCACTTTAATAAAAGTTATAAAAATAATTCAATACTTTAATGAACAATTAAAATGTAATGAACTAATCTAATACTTGTAAAAAAAAAGAAGAGGTACAAGAATATATTTCGCCACGAATTGTCGCATTCATTAAACCAAAATAGAATATCCTTTGTACATTCTATAGTCATAGATTTTTCATTGTTCATATGCTACATTTCATTTAACTGTACAATTTTATCATTGTACTCAAAGACAAATTAAAAACCTTCAATACTTTTATGTCAACAATAAACAAAAGACATTACTCTTGAGAACTTTACTAAATAATAACGTAGACTTGGCTTTGTCAAATTCTGTAACCATGATTGTCGTGCATTGAAGCACATCAGTTTTCTATCCATCAAAACAATAATTCTTTTTATTTACACAATCAACTAGATTTAGTTGTAACTACGCACTCTGTACATTGCGTACAAACTTCAATTGTTGTTATTGGCGTTCAAAGGACTGCCGATGTTATCGATTTCACGCTGAGCTCGAGAGATTTTAACTTTGTCTCGAGGAGTTCCATCTTCACCGGTTTCCATCGCAAACATCTTCATTTTCTCTTTAAAGCTCAACTTTTCCGGTACGGCACCCATTTGCGAGTTTTGCTGTTGCCTTTGTTTTTCAGCTAATCTTCGCTGCCTAGGATCCCTATTAAAATAAGACAAGCAATCATTGATTGATACTGATGTATGAAATTGATTAGAAATTAATGCAACAGTCAACTCACTTATAAACTTCCTGAGCGCCTATCACGCCAGGTGTTGCTCCTTGAAATAATCCTCCGGGACCGTCGGGTGTTTTCGGTGAAGCTAGTAGCATCTCGGCATCGTTTATGAAATTCTAAAGAGAAATAAATAACTATCAACATCATTTTTATAAACACAATATTAACAGTAACAACATCTACTAATATTGCAAGACACATTTATAAAAAAAATTGAACTCTAAAATAACTCTCTACGATAAAAAAGAGGTTTCGATCGTCAATTATTTTCACTTAGAAGTAAAAGTATAATAAGACACTTTAGAAAAATGACGTATGCGCAAAGAGGGTACAAGTATCATTTGCATTGATGATACACATGGCAATGCAGGTACAAATATTATGTATATGCTGGTATGATGAGAGAACAGAGCACAGATGATGTAACAGCTGATGTTTTTAAAATGTAAAAACACGCATTATCGTCTCATGCACAAATATATTGAATTAATAAAAATGTTAATTGATGTATCACTTTTCAATGATACCTATCTCATCCCTATAGACTTATCTGTCTTACATTTTCGAAGAAACCCTCCTATACTTACATTATCTATAGTTTCATAATAAATATATCATATAATTAAGTTAGAAACTTCAATAATGAGGGATCGTAAGACATATAATAGCGATGTAGATACTTACATTGGGGTCTTCTCTTATGGTATCCATTGTAATAGACGGCGGCGAGACAACGTTAGACGTAGACGTATTAGTTATATTGTTGCGCGTCGGCGATTCTGTGTTAGCATTGGGATCGTGGAAGGAAACTCTCTTTGTCGGCTGAGATCCGCCATGTAATGAATTCGTCGTGGAGGAGTTGTTCGACGTACGTAAGGCACTTTGCTGAGACATCACAGCGTAACTCGATCCTCGCTCAGGTGGTGGCGGAGCTTCATGAGTGATCGAATCTGATAATAAGGCATATAATTATTTCAAATTCTTAAATTTATAAATAATTAATTATTCAAGTAGAAAATACTAACTCGTTGTATTGTAGTCTTCAATGACGAGATTGTCGAGTCTCAAATTATTGGGATTGTATTGTTGTTGCTGCTGCTGCTGTTGTTGCTGCTGCAATTGTTGCTGTTGTTGTTGCTGATGCTGCATCATCTGCTGATTTCGTAAATTGGCTTGATATTGCATCTGCTGCTGTTGCTGCTGTTGTTGTTGCTGCAACTGTTGCTGTTGTTGTTGCTGTTGTTGCCGTTCCTGCTGCTGCTGCTGTTGTTGATGCAGTTGTTGTTGACGAAGTTCTTCTTCGTGCCTCCGGCGTTGACTTTCCTCGTACTCGGCTTGTCTACGTTTAAGCTCAGCAGCTTGTTGGCTTACGGTTTGATTGAGATTTGCCAGACCATTGGTACTGCTTGATTCATAAGCATTTTGTTGGCTCGATACCGTGTGCACAGGTACGTTGGACATCTGTATTTGACTACCGACCGGTTGAGGCGTAAGAGCTCCACGAGGACCAGAAGATTGATTGTTAATCATTGGCCGTCCGGGTGGCGTTTGATTGACCCGTTGCTGATCCTGAGCTGCAGCACTGCGAATCAAACCTTGAACTCTCTGCGACGTGCTTTCATTTTCGAGATCGTTACTCTCTTCGTCTTCGTCTTGCTGACTCGCGACCTCTTCGGCGCGTTTCTGGAAATCGCGTTCCAATTGAAGAGCTCGAAGCTGTTCTTCTTGTTGAGAAGTGCGGCGCTGTAACGCACTGAGCTCAGCTATTTGCTGGTCACGCCACTGTCTGGCAGCCTCTCGCCGTCTGGCCTGTTCTTTTTCTCGTTCCTCGCGTTGCCAAGGATTGGTGGCACTGAATTGGTACGGTGGACGCGGGTGCTGTTGTCCGGTGTTTGGTGGATAGTAGCCACCCCTCGGTGGATCTTGCATGCTTGCCGTGTATCTCGAGTTCGGATCCATTTGTTTTTGATAGAGAGGATGCGTCATGGTGTTGGGCAACGGTGGCGGTGGACTGTTGCTTGCAATGGGTAGAGCTGGCCTCGCAGGTGGGTTGTCGTTCATTACATCTCCATCGAGCTGCGATCTGCCCATCAGAACATTGCCATACTGGTCGGTTTCTGGTCCGTTGGTGTAAGGCCCGTTCTGATTCGCTCCCACGCCATACTGATGGGGTTTGGGATATTGCTGTGAATACGATTGCGATGGTTTCATCGGTTTTTGGAAATTTATCGGCTGCTGTTGCCCTGATTGCATTATCTGTTGTTGTACCTGGTCTGAAGTTAAATATCCATAGTTGGATCTGTGTTGATTATAACTCGGAGAAGATGGGCCAAGATTGGGCGTCGAGCCGAGAGGTCTGGCTGGTGGTCTCATCTGCTGCAACTGTGGCTGCTGCTGCGGTTGCATAGGCACACGCGGATTGTAAGTATTTGCGCGATACGCGCCTGGTGGCGGCGGATTTGGACCAGCGCGCAATTCTCTGCGACGCACTTCTTCCTGCATTTCTTGAAGCTTGGCTTCCTGGCGTAGAATATCGCGCGTCGACTGAGATCTCGCTTGAAGGCCAGGCTGCATCGGATGCTGTTGCGGCGGCATACCTTGATTCAGATATCCTTGGGGTGGCTGTTGTTGCTGCTGTTGAGCAGGCGAGATGTACGACATGGGACGATCGTTGCTCTGATTGGGATCGGGCATCGTTCGATTGAGCGAGTTTTGAGAGCCACGAATCATGTTTTTGTGCAATACATTTCTACATGTAACAAAAAAAACATAACAGAATGAAATCAGTATATTCGCTCGAAACAAAAAAATTGACGAGTAGTTAAGAAACTTTGTTTTACCTGTCGTCAGGCTGCTGCGGCGGGCTGTTTTGCTTCAAGTTACCAGCACCGGGCTGCTGCTCTTGATTCCTGTAGACGCTCAAATTTTGGTAAAATCTTTCGGCTTCGTTGGCCTGTTGCTGTATGCTATTAGCGTGTCCAACTTGCGAATGATGCTGATTCGGATTAAGATTCGGCGACGACTGCTGTCTACTCGACAATCCACTCGGTGGCAGTGTACCGGTGGCTCTAGTCGGATCGTGCAAGTTGTGGCTCGATCTGTGCCGGGTGGAGGGAAAAGGAGAAAAAAATTCAATACTTGACGAATAATTCGGGCTCAAAAATGGGTTTTCCCGCAGAGGATCAAAGTTGTCGACTTATTTCGTTTTTGGATAACATCCAAATCGGCTTAAAAGCTAGATCTTTCGGTAACTTTCTGTAATATCGCGGATATACTTTTGTATGTTTTACCTCGAGCGCAGCGAAGTAGCGCCGTTCATGGCTGGCATCGGCGGTGGCTGCACCGGCGGAGTGACGCTATTACTCGACGAAGCTCGGCTGTAGCCAGGATTGAAGACCTCGTGCTGCAGCTTACCGTTTCCTTCCGTACCTACATCTGAAGTCAAATAGTTAATACACGGATGTGCCTTGCGCGAAAGCGATATATCTTTATAATCACACACTCTATATCTTTCGAGCGCGTAATCTTCAAAACTTCATCTCCCTCTATCTTTCGTCAAAGGAAGAGATAAGCCGCCCAAAACGTCTTACGTGGTGAAGTACGGAGGAGTAAGTTTATTTTTCATTTCATTTGCTTTTTCTTTTTTTTCACTTATTTTTTCGTAAGCGTGATGTGTGAGCGTTATTATATATAGATGTAAAAAGAGAATAAAGCTGGTGAAAGCTCGGGTGCTTCCGAAGAATATAAATACTTACTGTGTAGAGCAGGTACGGATTTGCTGCTGTGTATTTGTTGATGAGTGGTAGCCGGGGCCCCGTTAGCACTTGCCTCGCGTCCCAAACGCGACGGCAAGTCGCGCTCACTCATGCGCCTTGGACCTGCTATTTTTCGGTTGCGTGGCGTGGATAGGCATGATTGTTTTTTTTTTTTTGGTTTTTGTTTTGTACGTGCACAAGCGCATAAATTTTGCATTACAGATTGGTGGAGAGAGACAACGAGAAAAAAAAATAAAGAATCGTGGATTAGTTTTTAGTACATTTTGTTGGTTAATTATTATTATTATTTTTTTTTTTTTAAGCACAGCCAGTGTGTGCTTCCTTAAAGCTATATCGATTATCGTATTTTAATAATTAGATTGGATGATGACGAGTTAGTAGTAAGCATGCGGACGTGCATTAATGCGTATAATAAGTATGTACACGGATTAAGCTCTTATATGATACAGCTTTGCCTGACATGCAGTCGCTGAAAGATTACACTAGACTATACGAACATGCTCGCTACGAAACGATGACACATAAATCGAAACATTCGGAATTCAAACGACGATCGAAACCGTACGATAGAGTACGAAACAAGGGGGTTGAGGGTCGATAAGCTAATAATTAAAATAAATCATTTAACGGAACGAAAAAAGACACATTGATCAGCTAATCAAAAAAAAAGAAAATAATCAGCTACGACGATCGTGCATCGTAAAATAAAGATTCCATAAGTGCATCTTGTTGCCTCGGGCACAAGCTCTTACGGGCTTCCTTGCGACTGCAATGATGATGCCTGTGATGCACTCGGAACGTGGTCTCGCTGCTCTTTGGCGTCTCGTCGTGGCCGTTACTCTGGCTGCTCTCCTCGTATCGAGGCGTAGGTCTGCGCTCCGAGACGTCCAAATCGCTTTTAGCTTTTCTTCGATCGGACGATCGATCGTCGCCACCGTGTCTGCCTTTCTTCGAGCACCTCGTGCGTTTCTTCGTACTCGCGCACGAGGTCGGCTTCAGCTTTTCCCACGACTCGCTGCGATTGTCGTCGTCGAGCGCGCCGTTCTCGAGTATATCGTTGGTGCTTTTGGACAGTCTCAGAGTCGACTGCAAGCTACCCGTCGTACTGTTGGACTCTACCGAGGTTCCACTTGCACGTCTGCCCGATATCGATATTTTGCTTTCGATGGTTATGCCGGCCAGTACGGGACAATTGAGAAGATCGTCGCTGCTGATTTCTGGCGCTGAGACGACTCTCGAGCAGGTAGGAAATACCGTGTACTTCGCGCTGCCCGGACTCTCAGCCGTATCGTCGAGTACGATGACGTCCTTCGACGCGTAGTTCGATTCGAGATTCTCGTTCGAGGCAAGATCTTTCAGAGACCAGTACTTTGACAAGCTGTTGACTTTGGCCGAAGAATCGCTCGTCACCGTGGTAGTGCAAGTAGTAGTAATACTAGTAGCAGCATTTGTAGTACAAATCACCATTGGCTTGTTGTTGTTGTTGTTATTGATATTTGGACATTTATGAACATTTAATGAGCTATATATAGTGGGCAAAGAATGTTTTCGAAAATGCTCCAGACGCACATGGCCAGCTATTGTAGTCTTACGCTGCGTCGTCGCTGATTTATTTGGTATAAAGAGAGGCGCATCGATTTTGTCGAGATTAGCGAAATCCTCAAGCTGAGCTATGATTTGCTCTCGTTCCGCTCGAGAAAGCTTAGAATTACTGTCAGCGTTGCGGTTGACCCCATCGTCGTCGTCGTCTTCGTCGTCCTCTTCATCGTCATCGTCGTCGTCGTCGTCGTTGTCAGCCTCGTCCTCGAGTTTCATGGAACCTTGAGCTTGAATGTCAAGCAGAATCATGCTCCATTCGCGTTCCGGTGTCGTAGCCACGCTCTTGTCAGCTGTTAAAAGCTCTGTCTCGGATTTGTACTTCTCGATGCTGTCGCGCGTGCGCCGCTTGCTCGCTACGCTCGACGGCGACGCTATGTCCGGCTCGGACATGAACTGTCGACTGCTGCAGAGGCGCTTGGATTTGAATTTGATCAGGCCAGCGTCACCGAGCTTGGAAAAGTGCTTGGCGAGTGCCGCTACACGACCGCAGCCCAGTCTCACCTTTTCCGGTGATTTCCAGCACTTTTCCTCGTCCTCGGCCTCGTCGTTGTCCTCTGGACAACTAGACACGTCGCTGCTGTTGTTGTTATTCAGTCCGCTGAGATCGAGACTTAGCTCGGTTCGGCTGCTCTGAGACTGCTGGTTTATTTTCTCCATTCTCCTGGGAACAACTGTCGTTTCGGTCTCCAACGACGGGCTATCGGAATTGTCTCTCGTGCCGGATGATTGCCTATCGTCGCTGGTAGAGCAGCAAGTTTTGTCGTAAGACTTGTCGTCCTCCGGCGACGAGGAGGAATCCTCCTCGCCCGTTTGAGTTTGCTCCTCGGCGCTGCTGCTCGTGTGGCCGCCCATAGCCTGATGATAAGCGCAGTAATTGGCTTGCATGGAGGCACGACGATTGCTAGCTTCGATATCCGCTGGGAAGACTAATTCGGACTTGTCGTCGCTGTAGTAACCGTACTGACTACTCGTTCCCGGCTGCGATGTCGTTAATCTCGGTGGCAGTCGCGGCTGCTGATGTAGCTCAATTTGGCCGAGGCTGCGCGGATACTTTTCCGTGTACTGGCTCGGAGTCTTTATGAACGTCGCAGCGTCGCCGGGCTCTCTGATCACCGGTATGACTTGCCGAGGCGGCAGGTCTGGCGCTACGGACCAGCTGCCGCCTGCCCGGTTATCGTAATACAAGTCCATCGTGGTACCGTTCAATCTAGGCATGAAACTAGCGGGACGCGACAGTCGATCGAGGCGCTGATACGGATTGTACGCGGACGCGGGCACGTAGTCGCGGTAGGCTAGATGAGAATTGGACATCGCGCGATGCTGCATTAGGGCGTTGATTCGAGCTATACTCGCACCTGATTGAGCCAAGTGATGCTGCGACTGCGAGGAAGCGTCCCATGTGCTGTTAGCGTCAACGAATTGGTCCTGATACGAGGCGGAATGACGGGGTACGTTTAGTAAGTTGCCCATCGACGACGAAGAAGAAGCGCCCGTAGCACCGTCAGCTGCAGAGGAAGCACCACCACCTGAAGCCGTGTCCAAATGCTCGCTCTTCGGTCGTGCCTTGGCTGCTTTTTTTCCCATCGTACATAAGTGCCAAGCAGTTTGGGTTAGTTAATGATCAAGCGTTAGTACACGCGCGACATTGAATGATCAATTGCCACGTACTTTAATTATTTTTTATTATTTATTATTAACAGTTATTTGCAGCTAATTAATGTGAAGCTTATGAAATTGTTTGCTTTTGCATGTAACCCCTATGCACCAAGTATTATATGTCGCGAATGAAAAATAATTCTTGTCGACGGCACTTGACAAGGGAAAAAACAAAAATGTGGTAAAAACTCACCTCTGCTCATGACTGGAGACGGTTGCGAGAGCAAAGTCGCTAATCCGTGATAAATCGCGCCTTGTTTAGCAACTTCCAGTGTGACAACTGGTCCCGTGCGAACTAGGTACTCGGCAGCTCTACGTCGTGCGAATAAAACGTACCATTGTATTAAATTCGTAAAACAACAGAGTGCATAACAAGATTCATTGTGTACAACGAGCTACTCACTTTTCTTGTGTTATACCGACGAGACTCTGTCCGTCAACCTTGAGTAGCTGATCACCAGCTGCCAAACGACCATCCTACGAAAAATTCGTATCGTATTAAATTGTGAAAATAAAAACTTTTCATTTATAATAAGTGTAATTTTTGCAACTTACGCCATCGGCAGCACCACCGGCGACGACGCTTTTGATGTAAATACCGAGTCTGTCTTGGCCTGCACCCTTGGCCGCAACGATGCTCAAACCCATACCATTGGTCGATTTGTGAAGCTTGATTATTTGCACTTCCGGATGGCTCTGCTGTCCAGGCTGGTGACCGGCGTAGCCGGCCGATCTGTTGCTCATCGCGCTCGGGCTCCTCAGCTGGTCGACCATCAACATAAGCTAAATTGATTTTTTCCATAAATATGCGGTGCAACTCCTTAACCGACCGTTGGTGTGAAAGTGTTATGAAAGCAAAGAGTCAAAGAACGGATAACTCACGGTATTGTGATCGATCATGTAAATCGTCCAGAATCCGCTGCTGGTGGGCTGGGCGGCCATGCGGCAGAGGCCGTCGCGCTGCAGCGGCGCCAAAAACTCGGCCAGGCCCGGCGGCACGCCTCGTATGACTTCGCAGCTGTAGCCGTCCTCGGGCAGAAGTAGCGCGAGATTGAGCGTGGGCTCCTCCTCGAGCCGGATTTCACGCCCGTCGGCTCGCGCGAGTGTGTCTGCCACGCTTTCTGCCACCTGGAGCACAGAGAAGAGAACACGCGCGGTGTTGTTGTTGTTTTTAATTTATACGATCGCGAGTATATCTGCCGCGCGCGGACTATATAATTGGCGAGCGAGGTGAAAATTAATAAGGCGTTAATGAAGACGCATTGTATGCAGGCTCGTTTTTATAACTTCCCCCGCTCTTGCCCGCATATCTAGCGTGTGCTATATATAGGGCGTATCGCAGGCGCGTCGAGAGCGAATTAACAAACTCACCCTAACGACGTTCTCGATGAGCTCGGCCGGCAATCTCGGCTCGTCGGCCGCTGGTTGATACTTTTGCAGCAGAGCGCGCACCTGCAGCGAGTTGAGCTTGAAGCAGGTCGAGCTGAGCGTGGCCAGCTCCTCGGCGTTGTACTTGGGCGCCTGCAGCAGATGCGTGGCCTGCATTATCGTGGCCAGGTGGCACTGGCTGGCCAATTCCAGGCCCTGCCTCTCGGCCCAGGTCTCGAGGGCGTTGAGCCGAGCTTTCAGCCGTCTGCCGAACCACCTGACGCAGAGATTGCCGTTGGACACGAGGGCGTTGAAGGCCGTGGCGTTGATGGCGTGGAACAAGTGGCTGAACAGCTGGATGGTGAGTGCGGCGTTGACCCGGCAGCGTCGCAGCAGCGACATGCTGTTGTAGAAGATCTGCAGCACGCCGGCCTCCTTGGCCGGCTCGTCGGCGTCGGCCATGAACTGCGACATGGCCGGGGCGAGCTCGAGCGATATGCAGCGCACGAGCGAGTCGAAGGCCTGGTGCACGGCGTCGGCGAGTATGTCCTGGGCGCGGGTCGAGAACGCCCCGATGTGCCGGTCGTTCTTGAGCATGTGCAGCAGTTCGGAGCCGTTGGCCAGCCACAGCGCCAGCGAGGACGCGTCCATGTAGCGCTCCTTGAACATTGCAAAATGGCATCGTTAGCGTTTTTATGTAAATGTTATACATGCATCATCGGCCGTAGTCGAAGTAGCCATTCGCGCGCGCGTAAATTTTGCGCCAAGAGCCAGCAAGAATGAATGTAAGTTTAATTAGCAGGAAAATCGCGAATGAACTTTGATGGAAGTTGCGCAGCGACGAGAACGAGTCTCGCGTATATATATAATCTCTGGCATAGAACTGCTACTCTTAATTTAATCTATATAATACCGAGTCGTCAAACTCGTCTCGCGCGCTCTCTCTTTTTATTGCAATAACTCGACTAATAACTCGGGCATATTATCGACTTTTTTTTTTACTTCATCAAGAGAGCACCGACGAACGAACGAACGAACGAAAAAAAATGGAAAGAAAAGGAAATGTCGTTGATAATGGAGAGCGAGAACGGGAGATAGACGGGTAAAAAGGAAAAAGAGAAAAGAAATTGCCAAAGTTTCGCACTCGCATTATATGGCGTATATACGGCGCGTATATATGCGCAATCGTAAAACAAAAGAGTAATGGCAACAAAAGGTCGGCAGCCTCTGCGAATGGGAGCGTGTCGCGGCGCTCTCTCTCTCTCTCTCGCGCGCGAGCACGCTGTCGTCTAGATTTCTCTCTTTCAGATATATACTCGACTCTTGCACACACGCACGGATATACACACACACACGTGTGCATGCGATAGTGAGCGTAGTTGAGTATTATACCGTGAGTGGTTGCGCGTATCGCACATGCACAACAGAAGCCGCGCGCACGCAAACACTCGCAGCGCAGGAGATTCGCATCGTGGACACACACGGCAACTTTTCTTTCTCTCTCTCTCTCTCTCTCGGGTACTATAGTCTGACCTTTAATAATCGCATCGAAGTCGGCCCGATACACCAATTACAGTTATAGCGATTCGGACGGTACCGATTCTTTAGTCTCCGCGGTGTGTTTATATGTATGTACCTGTATAACTTGCTGTATCATAGTGGCCACGTTGGCCAGCATGATGGTGAGCTTGTGGGCTCGCTCGGTCGGCTGCAGCTCCGGCCGGTAATGCGTGCTGGCCCGATATCGGGCGGCCAAGTAGAGCGTGTAAGTCGGGGCCAGCTTGAACTGCGGCGCCGAGGGCTCGACGTCGGTGATGACCGCGTGCAGGAACGTCTGCTCGGTCTCCTCCAGGAACTCCAGCACCGCCGGCAGTATGGGATCGGTGCCGCGGGGCTGCTGCTGGGCCTGCTGGTGCAGCTGCTGCTGGCGCATGTCGTACTGCGACAGTCTGCGGAAGCGAAATTCAATTGCAAAACGATTCCAGGACATTTTTTTATTTATTTATTTATTTTTTGTTGACTTTCGTCGCTGTAAAGTTTGAAAAAACCGCGATCCGCATGCGTTACATACTTACCTGTAGCTGATCTCTGGCCCGGATAGGTTCGTCAACGAGCATACAACAAATTGACATACATGTACGTATATATGGGGGGATACATAACAGAGAGCAGCGCGGCAAACAATTCAACGGCCAACTAATGCGCGACAATGAAATAACAAACAACGAGCGAATAGACGTACATATGGGCTTGATGGGACAATCGCCTCTGTGTGTGTGTGTGTAAGTGCATGCGTGTGCATACGCATATGCATGAGATGATAGAGCAGGCAACAATTGCGCAATCTTGCGAGCCGAGCACCGCACGACGGACGCTCGTATATATACCGTCGCCGATAATTCGTCACGCTCGCCGTTGCACAATCGATGATCTGCGCTGCCTCGTCCACTCTCTCTCGCGCGCGCAGATTATAATATGCACACGCATGCAGTACAGTAGTGGCACAGAGAATTGTCATCATTACATGTATGTAATAATAATAAATATAGGTGCACAGGTAAAAGCCAAGGAATTTATTGGTAGCGTGAGTGTGAGTGTGAGTGTGTGGTAAGTGCGAATGGGCGTGTAAGACGTACCTCTGTCCGTCGCGGCTGCTGCTCAAGCTCGCCGTCTCGACGTTGCCGTCGAGGTCGAAGGTCGTCTCGTAATTGTGCGGTCCTGGACCAGCAGCGGCCGCACCCCCGCCGCCGCCGGGCGCGACGACCTCCTGCTGCTGACTGGCCCTGGTCGGGCTGCGGGGCCCGGTCATCGCCGAGGACTTGCTCGGGCTCGACGGCTGGGATGATCCGTTGCTGTTCTGCTGCTGCTGCTGCTGCATCGTGGCCATCTCCGAGCTCGGCCTGTACTTCTCCGACTGGGCGTCTTGCTGGGTGCTCGAGCTGTCCGTGGGCGAGCGTCTATTTACGCATGCGAGTAGTAGGTGTGCGTGGTACGATGGACAACGACACGGGGTTTGCGTATACATAGGTGCGTGCAGCGAGGACGACGACGACGACGAAATTAACAATGATTACAGAGAATAAAACAAAAACAAAAACAATGAGGCTGAGGATGCAAGCTCGTAATTGACATTTAGAGAGAAAAGCTCAACTTTACAGGTGGATGAATGTAAGCTTAAACGACTTACGACACGTACATTATATGGCGTGCATTATTATTATAAAGAGCCTGGGCTAAGGGGGTGAAACGTAATCGTGTATAATTATTAGGGTTGCGCGTACCTTCCGTCGTAGGAGTAATCCATTTGTCTGGCTGAATCGTGACGCTGCCTCATGCGGTCCTCCGGCGCTGGATCGATGAAACGGAAGGTGTGCATCCTACCGAACTTGATGATCGCTCCGTTCTGCAATTGAAACATCGGCAACTCCGTATTATTCTCTCTCTCTCTCTCCCTCTGATTAATGGGCTTTACAGGTAGTATAGCTAGAGAGAAGGGAGCAGCAGCAGCACAAGAGAGCGAGAGATAGCTTTAATCCGCGCGCGTATATACCAAACCAGCCGACGAATTTCAATCGAGAGCGAATCCCTCCTCCTCCGCAGCTCCGCAGCTCCAGCTTTTCCGGCACCCGAGCCAACGCAGTAGTAGTATATAAGCGCGTAGTATACGTGTGCGGGGGGGGAGGACGACGCGCGCGCGTAAAATTTACAGTTGAATTCATCGCTCTAACAAAGTTTCGTTACAGCATAGACTACTACTGCTGCTGCTGCTGCTGCTCCTATATAGCGCATAAGCGGCGGGGCGTTATATGCATGCGATATTCTAACTGCTGCCGGGTCGTGTATCAATTTGTTCGTCGGCGGCATCCCCCTTATACACTATGTATATATACGTAAACGTAGTACGGATGAATTATATTCGCGGAGGCTTTTGTAGCTCCTTTTTCTTTGATTCCCCCGACATAATTAATCAATCGTACGCCCGACGCGGCCAGTCTACTATGGTTCGTTTCGGCGGACCCGTCGATCTCGCGAATCGATCTCGCGTACACGCGCGCGCGAGCTTTTATCTCCGACTCAATGGCCTGTCGTCAGCCTGGTTATACGTCAGCGCGAGGTTCCTTATCATAATCGCTGTATATATACGGCCTGCGGGGCTATTATGTTTATAAATGGTGTATACACACACACGTTGTAGTGACGCGAAAATCGATCGGACAAAATTTCCCAATGGCCTGTATTCGCAGGCACACACCGTATTAGACCGTATATATACGTATAAAGCGCGAGGTATTAATCGTTAGGCAAGTTGCGGTTTTACTAGACCATAACGATTTATAGGCGAGAGAGTTGGAGACTCTCCCATTGTGTTTTCCACGCACGCGGCGGCGGCGCTATAGTTTACTCTCTCTCTGTATATATGTGTGCAGAAGCCGAGCGATAAGTGAATTTAAATTCAAACCGAGCATGTATTTACTCCCCTTTCCTTCTTCCTCTGTATCTCTCTCGCTTGGCTGCGAAGGTTCGCGAGCGAGCTGCGTACGAAGCCAAGAGCGAGAGAAAGAGGTTTAATTATAAGCGACTATCTCTCTCGCTCTGGCTTTTAGTCTTGATGTTATAGCAGAACGTTAGGCTCGCCTAAACGCGAAAAAGTCATGGATATATCTGATGCTGAAACGCGATAGAATCGGCACAGAGATCTTCCCAAACGAGTCTCGAGCGAAGAACAGAAGGAAAAGAGGGAAATAGAAAAATAGCGTATACGACAAACCTGAAGGATCGTCGTCTGGTGTATCCTCTGATTGTTGACGTAGGTGTGGGCGTCCCTGGAGCAGGGCGTGAGCGTGACGATGTTCTCGGTGAAGGCGATCACGCAGTGCCGCGGCATCACGGTGGGCCCGCTCAGCGTCATGGACTGCGCGGTGACGCCCTGGGGCCCTATGGGCCGCTCGCTGCCGACCTCCGTCACGTTGGGCTGCAGTCGGTGGCGCATGCCGGCCCCGTTCGGTATGTCCGTGCCGTCCGGATTGATCTCCTGCAGGAAGGGCAGTCGCTCGTCCTCGTAGCCACCTCGGCCACCCATGCCCGGGTGCTGGTGGTGGCCGCCGTGCTGGTGGTGCGCGTGATGGTGGCCGCCGTCCACGCCGTCGCCCCACTTGCCGCCCTGGGGCTTTTTCTTGCGCTTGCGGGGCACGTAGTCGGCCGGTCGGCGGCGCACGTGAAACATTATGGATCCTGCGAACAACAACAACAACAATGACATTAGCATCGGTAGTAGTAGTTGGAAGTGCAGCCACGCCTAAGCGTGTGAGAAAAATAACTCGCGAATTACACGCGTATATACACACTCATCGAGGTGGCACTTTCGCAACGCGTAGCAGCGCACATAGGCTATCGCTACGTACACGGCATATTATGCGTTATTCAGCAGTCGATATGTATGCACGGAGGCGCACCGAGAGCACAACCAGTGTATATAGGATATACGCGTATACTCGTGTACTACTGGTCATCTCGAAATCATGACTCGGTATATGGAATGGACGATAGGAGGAAGGTATGCGCGAGCGAAGGAGCGATAATAATGTGCTTGCGTAACAGCGGCCACGATCGGACTATTCCTACTTAATGAAACTCCAAAGTACGAAACTCGTAACACATCTCTCTCTCTCTCACTCTCTCTCTCTTGCTCGAAAAACTCATAAGTACTGCATGTGTCTATGCGTGTGTGAGTGCGCAGAAAGAAAGAAAGAAGAAAGAAAGAGAAGAGGAGCCCGCGCGTCGCGAGCTGCATACGTACACGTCCAGGCGATATGTACGCTTCGGACGTTCCTCCACCCGCACTCTACAGCATGTGTATACGATATATGTATACAGCGGCAGCAGCTCCTCGGGTACTACTCCAGGCGCATATATATACATAGCCGCGATAAAAGAGGGGAAGTAAAACGTACTCGCACGCATATACGAGCGCGCGTACAGGTGGAAAGAACAAAGAGCGCTGCTGCTGCTGCACGTGTGTGTATTACGTGCGAGCCTAGAGGTCTCTCTAAAGCAAAGTAGCGTGACGGCGAAGCGCCGGTTTCTCACGCGTCTCCCTTGCCCGCCCGCGCCCGCCACTGTACTGCTGCTACCTGTGCTCGTATGGGTATCTCTCCCCCTGCTGCTGCTCCTCGCGGGCATAAGTTGCACCGCGCGTAAACTACACTCGCGTATATATGCTAGCTACCTGCCCCCGACTAATTTCGTATTCGTTTTCGAAATCCGATGGATTTTTCCCAGCTATATAATAATGTACTATATGTATAACTACGCGGCTTCCGATATGCCTGCGTTTTTCATCCTCCCTCCGTCGTTTTTTCTATATACACCTACGTGCGATTTTGATTGATAAGTTTTTCGCGTGGCTCTGGCAGCAGCAGCAGCAGCTGCTGTGCATCGTGAAACAAGCCACGAGATCCAACAGCTCCACTCGACTGGGCAATATTGCGAATCGCACACAAAAATATGATGAATCCAACGCTATAAATACATTTATGTACAGTAAATGCTGCTGCTCTGACTCTCAAGGAAAATATTATGCGAGTCTCTGTGTGTGTGCGTGCGTGTGTGTATTAATCAAAGCCAAGCCACGCGCGCGTCCCGGTCATATTTGCTGAAAGCTCGCGCCCGCGTTGCCTCTATCGAAAGCACACACGGGGGTGAGGAGGAGGAGGAGAGGCAAACATGTTTCGCGCCAGCGATCAAAGGAAAAGCTTCGAACTGCATCACGATCAGCGGCCACCGCAGCCTGGCAGCCTGGCAGGCAGCTACCTACCACCACCATCACGACCATCGACTCCAACGCGCGGCCTGTACAAACACGATCAGCTTTTTTTTTTTTTTATCTCCCTCTCTCTGTTTTTAAACAATGTCGGCGAGTAATCGTTTGTTTTTTTTACACACACACACACACAGACAGTTCGGAAGAGCACAGTGCGAGTGTACTCGTTCGTGCGCGAGACAGACAGTGAGTAGGTGGGGTGGGGTGGTGGCCTATGTGTATTGTGTTTCGGTGGGCCGATTACGCGATTGAGTTATTCAAACATCGATATAAGCGATGCGCGAACGCGAGTGGGATGTAGTGTTGCTGCTGCTGCTGCTGCTGCTACTGATGCGCTAACGGCACAAAAGGGCTGCCCGATTGATTCTATTTTGGGAATGGATCAAGGTTTTGCGCATCGATTGTTTCGCCGGATGAGAAGAGCGCAAAAACGACGTATATATATAATGTATCCTCGACGTGGCTCGCTCTCGCGCCGTTAGATTAAACGCAAATATATGCTTGCAAAAAAAAGCTAATTAATCCGGATATCTCTCTGTTCTCTCCGTCCATCTCTCTTGACTCTTTGAAGAGCTGCAAGCCAATCGTGAAAATGATGAATAAAACAAAAAAAAGAAAAAAAGAGAAGCAAAGAAATTTCCTCGAATCCTTGACGAAAATCAGCCCTCGAGGCTTTGTGTGTTACACAATATAATGTATGCTGGTATATAGCGATTCGCTCGAGGGAGTTACGCGCGTGTCGGGAGGCATTTCATTAGACTCTTGGCCCCGTGCATTCATCTATGTATGTATATATGCGGGCGATGCATGCGCGGCGACGAGCGGATGATATCGAATAAACAAAAGCTAAACGCATTTGCATTAGCAGCGGCGACGGCGGTAGCGGCGGTGGCGGCGGCTGATTATTAATTATAATCAGAGCAATGTGCGCGACTGCATACGCCTGCATAATGAGATGTTAAATGTTTCATACACATTATATGATCGCGCGTCTGTCTCGTCGTCGTCGCAGTCGCGCGACCTACATTTTAGCCAAAGCTTAAAGCTTATTCGTATACAGTCGCGGCCGGGGCTGCTCAGTCGTCTCTGGGGTAAACGAAGTATATATACAGACACATAACATATACTCGCGCGCGTCAGGGAGAAGCAATTGACGCGCCTATTCGATATCAAACATTGAATTCTCGCGATGGCTATATAATGATACATTGCGCAATAAAATCTGCAAAATTGATTAAACTTTCCTCGGCTGCGAACGACCTCGGTAAATAGTACGCGAGGATAAAAGCATATAGCTCCGCGCAGCAGCAGTGCCGTATTCGTTACACGCGTTAATACCACGATGCCGAAGGAAAAAACACAAAATGCTACTGGGATTTTTTATCGACTCCGAGCACGTATATCCCGCGGCAAACAGCCCCGTATATATATATAATACGATAGACTCCACCGGCTCTCGGCGCGTGCCTCTCTCGAGTCTCTTCCTCTCGCTCGCTATACAAGTTTTATTCCATCAATTTCTATCCTTTTATTTCTCGGGCTCTCTAGAGCCGAGCAGCAGCAGCGGCGGGGAAACTTTGGACTCTTACACGAGCGAGAGAGCGTCTACGTATCGAAATAAACGACGTATGAACCTTACGATTGTGTGTTGTAGTACATATATGTGTGCGCTGCACGCGCTGCCCTTTTTAATGCGCGTTGATACGGGGCTGGAGGCGGGGAGAAACGCTCGCGATGGAAACAAACGAGAAAAAAAACAACAGCAGCGAGTAAAGAGAAAGAAAAATTCGTATGCCGAGTGGATTATAACAAAAGGCGGATTTAGCGAGGCTCGAAAATGTAATAAAGAACATAACGAGGCGGGCAGTAAACCGAACGATTAAATATTCAATTTGAAGCTCCGAATGGCTTTTCACCTGGCAATATATATCATGCATTCGGACACGAGCTTTTGTTTTTTTTCCCCCTTTTTTTTTCATTTAGTTTTTTTTTCCTCCTTTTATTTTTCGGTCGGTGCTTCGACGTCGCATACCTCCTCGTCGTGACAATGGACCATCCTCGGTCACGAGAGCCCGCGAGCGCACCGTCGTTGAGTGGAGGGGGAGGGGAGGAGGGCACGCGCGCGCGAAATAATTCATTCCCAAGTGAGCTCGGTTTATTTTGCCCTCCTCCATGCATTGGCTCGTAGCGCACACGTTATTTATATGTATATAGCTGTTACACTTTTATATGCATTGGGAGCGAGTTCATGAGAGAGAGAGTGACATTGTCAAACGCATCGGCAAAGTTCAAGCGAAAGTTTTGCGCAGCACAGGTGAGAGAAAGTTCGGGCTCTAGATAGACGCGCTTTATACCTACGGTACGCATGTGATCATGCATGAGCACGCTCGGCGGCTTGAAATATATAAGCTCTCGAGTGCGCGCATATGTGTGTGAATGTGTCGTATATATTATATATACCCTTCGTATACGTATTAATGCAGTATACCTTCGAAACGTGTCCGCCTATCTGCCTTCTGTGTGTATGCGACTACACGCCTGTGCACATAAAATCGAATGAAAGAGAGAGAGAGACACGCGTGAAAAATCCATAAATATATAATACTCGCGTCAGATCGATTTGTCGTCGTTTGCGTCGCTATTCTTCCATCTTTCTCCCTTTCTATTTGCGTGCGTGCGAATTCGTTTACGCGTATACGTATAAATCGACGCGAGACGATTCACAAATGTTGTTTTGTCGAACGTAATTGTTTTTTTTTTCTTTTTTTGCTTCGCGACTCTCGCGTGTATCGAGAAATAGGAGAAATAACGCGTCGAGCTAATGGAAAGCGAGAGAAATATATATGTTATGCGCGCACACACATGCCGATGCCAGGACAGAGGGAGAATTGCAAGTGTCTATAATTAAAAAGTATTTAGCGTGCCGAGGAACGACTGGCAGCAGCAGTAGCAACGCGACCTTGTAAGTACACGTAAACGTACTTCTATGTAACTCTATGTGTTTGAGAATGTAATGAAAAAAAAAAACAGCGAGGAGTAAAAAAAAAATAGATACACATGTGTGTACGTGTATATAAAAGGAAAGGAGAAAAAAAAGGAGATAGACCTCGTTTCATAATGCATAAAGTAATACTGCAGCCACCATCATCGCATCAATCAATCGACTGCTGCCGTAATGCTGCGCGTACTTAGACGTATGCTGTATATTATAACACAAGTGCACGTGTGTGTGTGTATGCGTGTGTGTACTACGTGTGTCTGCAGAGGTACATTTTCTTGTAATGATACAGCAAGTCGCTCGCGCGTGCGATAAAAATAAACAAGTTACACATTTTTTCCCATGGCCCCCGTGCAACATCAGCAGCAGCAGCAGCGGCGGCCGGTAAGTTTCCAGCGCGTGTTATTTTTTTTA